GTCATCTCTCGCAGGGGGCACACACACCTTACACGCGTGGAATCCCGTGGGTCAAAAGTCCGGAGCGCGTGCGTTTGACTGGAGGACGCGCATGTTGGAGAGAACGTGGACACTCCTATAGGTCAATTTCTTCTTATAGGAAACTTCCGCCGCCGGCTTGCCCGGGAACTACTTGTAATAGACTCTTATTCACTGATTCCGAACTTGTTCCTTTTCTTTTTTTTGGTCTGTGCTTCTAACAGCGATGGCCTCCACCCTAATATCATAGCGACGGCCTCTACCCCAATAGTGGTGGCCTCCATCCTACTAGCGATGGCTTCCAACCTTTGGCTGAACGGGACCTTTGCGGAACGATTGGCTTCAGTCATCATCGGAGTCCGCTTCTTTGGAGGGCTGCCGCATCGCCAGTAATTTCCTGTCAGGATCTGCTGGCGGATGGATTCGAGTTTCTGGATTTGGAAAGATCGTAGGTAGGAACAGCCATGGGGATCCTGGCTCTGTGCACATGAATCTATATAATCAATCAAATCAAATCTAGAATCTCTCTCTAGATTGCGCGAGAGAGAGAGAGAGATCAGTTTTGAATACAACTGAATAATGTGCGTACACAGGGTTGGGGTGGGGCAGTTATTGATGGGGTGGGGAGGGGGATGTGGTGGGCATGTATTCTGCCACGATTACCAAGTCCAAAGGGTGGGGCCGGAGTCTTTACCAGCCTGGACATCTGCTGCATGGCATCGCCGTTGAGCCCCCCAAAGCTGCAAAGCATACCACCGAATGTTCCAACCCTTGGTGGGCAAAACCTGATGAACGATGCGCTCGGACAGGTGCAGAACCAAGGTGTCCATGTGCGGGGCCACCCTGCGAGCGACGGAGTGTTTCGCGCTGTGACAGCAGGGCCCTGAACTTCGGACATTGAGCAGGCTTCGGCAGTGGGTGTCTTGGGTAATTACATGTACTTACAATGGAATGATAAAAAATAAGAAAATATGAGAAAAATTGATGAAGGAAGCATCCGAAATCATTAAAGATCCTCTGCTTTGAACCCTGGAGGCAGCCTTGCCTTACTCTTGGACACTTTCTAGCACCAGATGCAGAGCTGGAAGATGATGGCACCATGAAGATGTCCATGCCACCCTGCGCGAACACGCAACGATTGATAATGAAACGGTCCCACACAGCCTATTGCAACCTCGACCTCGTCGTCCTACAAGTGGCATGAGAAGCAAGAAGCCTGTTCTCCTTCTTCTGGGGCCCAGTGTGGGTTGATGTAGTATGTGCACGAAACACCTTGGCTTCTCTGGAAGGGCACTTGAAAGCAAAACTGCAGGCGTCAAGACTATCAATGGATAATAGAGAGAAATGCACAAGTGAAAAAGGTGACAATAGTGGCAAGATAGCAAGATCATCATGGTGTTACATGCACGTTGCCGAAGGAAATTGAAGCAACCAAGGCACGCATTCCGTTGTCTGGAAGGCTACTTTCATCCTCGTGAGGATTGTCAATGTGTATCTTGTGAGTCGCATCGCCCGTGTAGCATGTTAGTAGGGGCTGACCGAGCCGGTCGAAAGCCACCTCGGAATTCGTGCCCAACAGTGCTACCGGCTACCCATGGAGAACCAGGAGCAGTCCAGCAAGTGAAGGCACTCCATTTTCTTTATATTTACGATGCTCATGATCTGGGATCAAGAATGTACCCAGCATTGCCAGCAAAGGCACACCAAGCTCTTTTTCAAGAAGCGGGCCCAAGCCAGCACAAAAGTCTGCCATGTTGCGACCCAAGAGTTTCCTTAGCTCGATGCGAAGCTGGACATCACGACATCACCACCAACCACCCCACCAAAGCATCGCTGGCTGCCAAGATTCAGAGCATTCATCAACTGGATGGCTCTTGAGTCACCCTCTCCTGGATGGAAGAGGTCGATGGTTTTATGATTTCTGACACCCCTGACAGGATCACCACGGAGAAACCAAGCGGGCCGAGGGGCGAATCCAAACGCTCTTCTCCACGTCCTGGAGGGTTTGGACTGAACGCGTGAGCGTGAGTCGACATGCCACGAGTCCGGTTCACGGAACGGTTCCTGAAGCGCGTGGCTCCAAAGTTGTGCTTCTAAAAGGCTCCGGTCATCGTGGACACGAATCGGCGGCTTGAACTCTCCTGGCCAAGTCGGAGAAGAAGCCGGCACGATGTCCAGCCATTTGATGTGAAAGAATCTGAAGGCCCCACACGTAGCCCACACAAGCCATACAAAAGTCCCAATTATTCATAGTATTTATATAATAGATACAGTAATACTGCCTGTGCACATTCTGAGGGCTAAAGTGACTGAAATCCGCCTTCGATCCCATCACTGATGTTGGAAGGGCGAGCTGCCAATGCACGCACGCAATCACTCACATGATGCTTCGAGCCAAGCGACCATCCTCCCAGAGTGTCTCTGCCTCTTCGAAGGCCGCCTGGACCTGATTGACCGTATCAACCCCTCCCACCATCTTCGTCTCTCCACCGATCTCTTCCCATCTCGCTCCTTCCAATCCAATCCTTTCTCACTCTTTTTTCGAGTCAAAAACGCATGAACTTCTGTCAGGTCACCAGCTCAGGTGGCGCATTCGCCTGCACCAAACAAAAGCCTCGTTCCTTAAGCACTTGCACAATCTTCTGGGCTGCAAGCCTGGGCTGCGACAGGATGCCCGAAAAAAGATCCACTGAATAATCAGGGCGCCAATGGTCTACACATGCCATCACATGCCTACGGCAAAACACTGCAGCAAGGAGACACGCCATCAGGTTCATCTTGCATGCCTGGGCCACACAATTCCCACAAACCGAAGGAACACGCATCAGCCACCCCATGGCATCGCAGACCTTCACTACCAAGCGACGAATGTCAAAATCGTTGCCTTCCTCGCCCGGCTTTCTCTCAATCGGACCTTCCAATCCATCATCCGCCCACCGCATAGCCTCCTGCCGGACTTCTGAGGGCGGTTTGCGGCTTTGAAGGGATTCTCGATGATCTGTTTGCAACCAACGTAAATCTCCTTTGGCTTTCAGTTGCTACCAGGCAAAGACCGAAGCACTGACAGCGTGTTTTTCTTTTTCCATACAAAGCGTTAAGCAGTTAAAGAAACCCACACAAAACAGGTACTGTAGATCTTTATGGAATTGTGTGGGTCTTTATGCAAAAACATACATGAAGGATTCTACAGGTCCGGCCTTTGAGGCTTTTGTCTTCACCATGGCTGCAAAGGAGTTGGATTGGCTCGAACGCAAATGCTGACCGTTTGAGCGAATGGTCCAGATGATTTGCTAGCAAATCAACATACAAACATATACAAACTGCATCCAGCTGCTCAAGAGCTTCCTCTTCTCTTTCCGTTCTGCGGTCGCAGATCTTGCACTTACGCGATTTAAATCAGCGCATATCATTGGCCATGTGTAGGACCATGCAGGATCCATCTTTGAGTCGTTTGTCATTCGGTCTTGATTTTGTGTTGCTCTGGACCCCGAAGAACGACCCCACATACAAAGAGAACCAGCACAGGCAGTGTAGGATACACATTCCACCTGCACAAAAGGCGGGGGGTAAACGAAGATGTAATTTCGCAGAATGTGTGGTAAAAGCCTTGTGGTTTCAACTACCGAGACCTGGTCGCTCTGCGTTCTACAAGCTTTTGATGAAATGTCCACCCATCTCCGCCCAATGTGCAAGACCTGGACGATCGAATTGACATGCACGGAGCGCACATTGGCCCTTGGTCTTTCCTGCTCACCTCCATCCACTCCTGACAAAACGATGGGCAGGGATGATGGGCCAGAAAGGAGCAGCTTTTGTCGGGCAATCGCTACTAGGAGGCCATCGCTATTGGGGAGGCCAGGGCTAGTACAGTGTTCCTGTCGTTCAAGTTCCTGTCAGTGTGCCTCTGCAGCTGGGGGCGCGACACCTTCGTTCCTTTTGCTGGATACGCTGGCAAACCTCAGATGGCAAAGGTGAAACAAACCAAAAATATCCAAAAACAACAGTTCTCTCAAATCGGTTCCACATCTGCCTGCCAAGAAGCCGGTAACACGATTTGTGGACGATTTCTTGCTTCCTGAAAGGTTCCAGACGTCTAAAGCATAGAGAAACACCTCTTAACCCCACTAGTAACAAGAGTGCTACTAGTAACAAGGTGCCTTACTAGTAACAAGAAGCTACGAACGTAGCAAAGTGCATCGCGAACGTAACAAGAGACTGATCTTGGTGCTCTCGCCTCGTGTGCCAACACTTCCGGATCGGGTGTGGCATGGGACGGCGCCGCTGAGTGCAAGGAGCCGTGACGACGGCGCTGATGCCTGGGCGCTGCTGATCCGTTAACAGTGCTCCCAGCAGCGATGCCCGTTGCTACCTACTACAGTACCTAGTAGCTTGTTGTTCCTAGTAAGGCCAGGAGCTACTAGTACTGTAGCGTCCTTGCCCCTAGTCTAGTCCAAATAAAGACAAGGTCTGGATTCGTGGAATTTCCTGAATCACAGAAACTTGAATCAGCCCGGCACGGAGCTATTCATGCGTGGTGTGGTGTGGCCACTGTTGCCTGGCCGAGCTGTTGGGTTGCTCTCAGAACAGCCAACATGGGGCATGACCCAAGCAAAAAGGGCTGTGAAACTTGGTCCCTTTCTCATCTTTCTCCTTCGACCCCCTGTTTGTACAAAACAAAAAAGAACAAGGATCGGAAGCACTCTGCCGAGTCGCTGCTGTTGTCACGCTGTGTCTGGAAGGCCTAGCAACCACGCGGACTGACCGAAATGCTCCGCTCGACTCATGGCTGGTAAGTGTTGGTTTTGGAAGATGCGATCTTAAGCTACTAGATGCTACTAGTAACAAAGGGCATCGCTACGAACGGAGAAAGGACGCTACTAGTAGCTCCTGGCCTTACTACTAGGAACATCTAGGAACAAGAAGCCACTAGTAACAAAGGGCATCGCTACTAGGAGCTCAGGAGTCTGCCAGGCTAATCTTCTCGCTGTTAGGGGCATCCTTCAGGCTCACCTCATCGCCTGGCCCGAGAGTCGGCCCCGGATATCAAAGGATACTCGGAGGCCCAAATTGCCAAAGCTAAGTGCCAAACTCGCAGTTGCTTGCAGATTTGGCGCTGGGAAGGCCTAGTGCAGTCAGATCAAATCGTCTTGACACCATTGAAAAGCGAAGGTGTGCAGAAAGCGCAACATGGAGCCTCCAGCGACTCCAGCGGCTGAGTTAGGATCAAAGGATCAGAACCTGCAAATAAACAGGACAACTGTATAAACAAAACCTAGACAAGTGACAAGAAGGCATTCCGGTGGTGGCCTTGGATAGCTAACGGTGTGATATACAATGATATACACCTTTCCACTTTGACGAAGACTTTCCTACACTGCCTGATGAAGGTTCAAGAAGTCAATGTGGCGACTTCATCTACTTCTATTGCCGTGTCCCCGAGCGCACCTTCACCTTCCGGAGCAACGCCTGAATCGTAAAAGACAAACAGGATCAAACAGGCAAGGGGGCTCTGGAGGGCCACGGATGTCTGATTCCATTTCCGCTTTGAGGTCCATGCCCGGAACGGGATCTGGTATTGACCTTTCTCACTGCTCACATCTGCTCGCCGACAACACCCGACACACACAATGCCACTTCAACCAATTTGTCGAACTTTTGCAAAACTGTGCTTCCAACCCTGAGATGCTCTCGGCCGCTGCTTCAGCAGCTGCATTGAGAAGCTCCTCTCTAAAATGCTCCATGTTCTTCTCATATCTTCTCATCTCTCTCTCCACTCCACGACCGAGAACTCTGAAGGCTCAGCGGTCGATCCTCGATTTCGCCCCGGTCGACCTTCCGCAGCAAGGAGTCCTTGGCCTCGGAGGGCCGCCGGTCCCCCCGGTCGCTGCGCCCCCCGGGCGCCGCGACCGCGCGCCGGACCCGGGCCGCCCGGGCCGAGCGGAGCTGCAGCTCCAGGTCGGAGACTTGGCGTACGGCAGCCTCTGCAGCCTCGAGCGGACGGAGACGAATTGGTTCAGAGAGTGTTCATGTGACACCTGACCTAAGTGGCGAAGTGGTGAGATCAAATCACCCAAACTTCTGGCCTTTGGTAATCCGTACACCTACCACGTTCACCCCATGTTCACCTCTTCCGTGTGAGGCCTGCTGCTGCTCTGCTAGAGTGGCCGAGAGCTCCTGGTAGGGCATTCGTGTTGCCAAAATGTCAAGATCCAGTAGGGGGATAGGTTGCGCTTTGCTTTGGTGGTGATTTACCATGATTTACCTCATAAGTCAGTTCACTCTGCTCACTACTCCTTTGCAGTTGAGTCTCGGAGTCTCGTCTTGACCACGTCCATCACCCCGTCCTGGATCTCGGATCGATCTGCCTTGCCATCCAGGGCCTTCATGACCTGCTCAAGTATGTTTGCTTTTCCAGCTTCGGCAAGCCGAGACGTGGAAGAAATGATGGAACTCCAAAAGCCACGGCTGAGATGAAGTCTTTGATCACTGACAACACACACCGAAAACGAACCAAGAAATCCGCAGACTCCCGCAAGTCCATGCAAGTCTCACAGGTCGTGAACATCTTCCGCCACCGAAACCATGCCTCGCGCAGCTCCCCGGAAGGACGCGGCGATGCTGGAGAGCTGCCTGGAGAGGACTGCGCATCCCGGGGAGACGCGCTTGGCTGTGCGCTTCGCAGCAACCGACTGAGCGATGGCCACACCAGCCGCACCTCTCTCTGAGGTCGGTGATGCGGTCCCTTTGGGTGATGAAGCATCAGCCAGGCGCGGAGTAGCATCCTTGGCAAACGAGTGTGTGCTGCACGGTGGCAGGGTGCTGTATACAGCGTAACGGTGTAGTCTGCAACCAGCCAAGGTGCCAAGTCTGCCCAAGCCTTTGGTGCCAGGAGCCCCTAACAGCCTTCTTGTTACTAGTAGTAAGAATGCTCCTAGTAGCGATGCCAGGAGCCCCTAGTAGCGTCCTTCCTCCTACTACCGATGCCCTTTGTTCCTAGTAGCGTCCTCTTGCTCCTAGTCCTTTCCTTGCGTTGAAACCATGTCTCCCACTCCGGATCCTGAGGCCACGCACCACCTTCGATGTCAAGCTTTCCACGCAAACCATGGCCTTGGATCGTCCAAACCCACGATCAAAAAGGCACAGTATAGAGACTACACCGCACGTGGTGTCGAACGTATTCCAACACCAACCAGCAAATGCACACAATCCGACATGGCGGGGTGCGAGAGTTGAGAAGCTCAGCCCAGGACATTTTGCAGGTCACGTTCAAGCTGGTCCATCTTCTCCACCCTGGCCTCGTAGCAGTGGGGCTGCAGCGGAACTCCACCAGAAAACACAATTTGAGGGGTTCATCCCCAAGATTGAGACATCTTATCACCTGGCCTCCAAATCTCTTCTGAAGGCGGCGCGGTCATTCTCCAGGCTGAAGTGCAACCTCGTTCAGCTCTTTGAGCAAGAACATTCCAGCCCCACTTGTACAACTCATAATCACAAGTCATATATGTAATTATACACTCATTAATTACGACTGCTCCAAAGTCGTTTTGAGAACATCTCATCATTCTGCCATGTTTCACTCGCAAGCACACTTGTTACGCATCAACGGCCCAGTGACTCCTGTTGGAGCCGCTCCACCATACCAAACAGCTCTGTCACCTGCCGCCGCTCGGCCTGGCGGCTTCGCGGCCGCTTTGCCGCTCCGCTCCGCTCGGCGCGCCGTTCGTTGAGCCCGGCACCTTCTGATTCATGGCCTCCTTGAGCCCAGACAGGTCGGGGATGTCCTCGGCACTGTCCGTCTCCACCAGTCACGAGTCGAAACGGTTTGCTCCGGGGTCCAGCAGAATCCGCTGTCCTTGGTCTCAGTCTTCTTTTCAAGGCTTTGCTCCAACACCTGGACCTTCACTCTTAGCTCGCCTCAGTTCAGGTGAGCGAACCACTGACCCCTTTGACCGTTGATTCAAACACTGTCGATTGGTCCTTTCCCAAGTCCTGTCTCCTCATGCCGTTGGGCCAAGGCTGACACTCAGCAATGCGAAATCCTGATCAGCTCTGGAGCGGCAAACTGCCGTGGATCCAGGTTCAAACTCTGACACAAACGCTCTTCCACAAATGGGCACAGTAGACTGCAGCAAATGCCAAAGATCAGATTTGCACAACACGAACTAAGTCTCTGGCAACCTTTCCATCCAGGTTCGCCCTACAAGGTCACGACGGCACACTG